AGTTAAGTCCACTCATCACTGCATATTTTTTCACCAAAACTGATAAGAAATTTAGGATGTAAAAACAATATAATTAGGCACCACACATTCTAATACGAGTCTTACCCTCACCTATTCATGAAAAAATACTTCTCGTCCAATCTTTGATGAAAATATGAATCAAATCTTGGCGTCCTAAGACATGTTGAAGATAAAATATAAATTACTTCTCCCCTCGGGAATAATGAAGTGTTGAACAGTATAGCGACATCTAATAGGTATATACTTCAGTATTCAATAATAAAGCAATCTAGGAATGAACTACAAGTTTTAAACTATTTTCAAAAGGCAGTTACATCATGCAGTTGGAATTCCCTACAGGGCTTTAGCCACAAAATCCACATGAATTCTCGATTTTTGCCTAATATCTACATACAGCAGTTTGTCTGAAGCAGACATTTTATTTTTTCAACAGCCATGTCTGAAGCCTCTGAAGCAGATCATCATTCTTCAAGTTTTGTCCATTCAGTATCAGGGGCAAGCCGGCTTCTTCCTTCTGCTAATCGTTGGAACTCGATTGAGCTTGACTTCACTCTTCTTCCTCAATCTTCGACTGGATTCGATTCCCTCCCTTCAAGATTCTCAAAATCATTTGATTTCAATCTCACAATCGGGGACAAAAATTATTTCAAGCGTTTTGGATTTATTGGGCATCAAAAACCCAACAGCAACTAAATGAATCATGTGATATAGCATTTAAGTATATCTATCATTTAATATCATGCAGTTGCGACCTAAACTTGTGCTTGACACCAGTGATGCTGAATAACATTACTCTTTTGTCATCCTCTTTCTAATCGGATTTTTATCTTGTCTTTATTTTGTTTTTATTTCTAAACTTTCCTTCGACTTCTTTAGTTCTAGAGACATACTGATCAATAATGTTTTGCCATTTGGGAGAGAGAATTACATTTTCTTCTGGTATTTTGAGGCTCCCTATTATAAATCAGGATTGAAAACAAAAGGCCACACATTGGAATGACCGTTATGACTGTTACATTTGTTGTATTCAAATGTTTTCACTTCCTCTGCCGCCTACTTATCCACCTTGAGTCTTGCTGTAAAAATGCAACTAATTTCTTGTATGCCACGCCTTCAATGTAATTCACATGAAACTATACGACAAATAAAAATTTCAATCATATAAAATATGAGACTAAGGTCTTGTGTTCAAATTGAAATCGATTCAATCTAATCCTAAACTCGAGATCTGTAAGGATTGAAAAAAAGGGAAAGACGCAGTGGTTCACTCTCAATGCAGAAGTTAAGTCCACTCATCACTGCATATTTTTTCACCAAAACTGATAGGAAATTTAGGATGTAAAAACAATATAATTAGGCACCACACATTCTAATACGAGTCTTACCCTCACCTATTCATGGAAAAATACTTCTCGTACAATCTTTGATGAAAATATGAATCAAGTCTTGGCGTCCTAAGACATCTCGAAGATAAAATATAAATTACTTCTCCCCTCGGGAATAATGAAGTGTTCAAAAGCATAGCGACATCTAATAGGTATATACTTTAGTATTCAATAATAAAGCAATCTAGGAATGAACTACAAGGTTTAAACTATTTTCAAAAGGCAGTTACATCATGCAGTTGGAATTCCCTACGGGGCTTTAGCCACAAAATCCACATGAATTCTCGATTTTTGCCTAATATCTACGTACAGCAGTTTGTCTGAAGCAGACATTTTATTTTTTCAACAGCCATGTCTGAAGCCTCTGAAGCAGATTATCATTCTTCAAGTTTTGTCCATTCAGTATCAGGAGCAAGCCGGCTTCTTCCTTCTGCTAATCGTTGGAATTCGATTGAGCTTGACTTCACTCTTCTTCCTCAATCTTCGACTAGATTCGATTCCCTCCCTTCACGATTCTCAAAATCATTTGATTTCAATCTCACAATCACCCTGTTTTTAATAAAGTTCGCAAATATTTATGTTTCAATTTTTATACTTGTTTTTATTCCTGTTCTGGTTCTGCTTTTGCATTTCTTGACACATAAGAAACACGAGGATTCCCCTTCCAGGAATCTTACAGTTGCTTTGAACCGAGCTCTTCTCTTCTTCGATGCACAAAAGTGTAAAGTATCATTAACTCCATTCAATTATTAATTTTGTTGTCTCCTTTTTCTAGAATTATTGTATTAAATGTTTTTCATCAATGTTTTTGGCAGCTGGTCATTTTCCAGGAGATAGTTCAATAAAATTTCGTGGAGATTCAGGATTAAATGATGGAAAAGCTGGCAATATAAATGCAAGTCTTGCAGGTGGATTTTATGATTCAGGAAACAATATAAAGTTTAGCTTTACCACAGCATATACTGTCACTCTTTTGAGCTGGAGTGTGATTGAATATCATAAAAAATATGCTGATATTGGAGAGCTTGATCATATCAAGAACATTATTCAATGGGGAAGTGATTATTTGCTCAATGTGTTTATTCCTTCAAACACAAGTGAAAGTTCAATCATATATTCTCAAGTGAGTTCTCTTAAGCCATATGATAATCCCTTTTGTTGGACTGTGTGGAGCCTAATCGTATATTATACTTACGTCTTGCCTGCAAATAGACCTATATTAGGAATATACTAGGTATCTCAAATACATATTAGGTCACCCTAATATTTCTACTATGAAAAGACTTCGGGTTGCCATTTTCATTTCGTTTATTATTGCTCTCCAATGCGGCGATTAGAGGTTCATTCCTAACACTCTTGAATTATATTCGGGACTCATGAAAATAATATCTATATTTTACTTTTATGCCTAAGGTTGGTGGGGTTGGAAGTGACAAAAATGCAGACAACGATGTAAATTGTTGGCAAAGACCTGAAGACATGAAATATACGAGGCATGTTTCAGTTTGTGACGATACAGCCTCAGACTTAGCAGGTGAAATAGTTGCAGGAATGTCAGCAGCATCGTTAGTTTTCGCAGAAAATAAAGCATATTCGCGAACATTAGTTCAAGAAGCAGAGAAGTTATTTAATTTAGCTACTCACCAAGATCCTTCTCATAAGCCAGGACTTTACACTGCAAATGGTAACTGCGGAATTCGAGCACAAGATTTTTATAACTCGTCGAGTTATAAGGATGAATTGGTTTGGGGAGGCACCTGGTTGTTCTTTGCCACAGGAAACAGTACTTATCTTAAATATGCTACTGATAATTTTTATTCAGCAGAGGATGAAGAATTGTTCAAGGATAAAGGGATTTTTTATTGGAATAACAAACAGACTGCTAACGCGGTAAATTTTCTTACATTTATGGCATGTTTAGTACATTGAACTAGGACAACACATCGATATATAATCTGTCTTCAATTGATCCTGTTCAATTCTGTCCTTTCTCGAGGCAAAGTATTGTGCATCTTGAAATTGATTATTTTGCAGATTCTGCTTACAAGAATCAGATTTTTCATTGATCCTGGTTATCCATATGAAGAAGCTTTGTCTACAAGCAGGACTGATTTGACAATGTGTTCATATCTTTCTAATAAACAGTTCAGCATGAGTGAAGGTGATTAAAGATGCTTTAGTTTTTTTTTTTTCTAGTTAATTTCGTATGCTAGTGTTGTTGAGTTAATATTCTAAACGATGGTTTTTTGAACAATTAGGAGGATTGATTTTGCAAAAACCAGATAGTGCACCACTTCAGTATGCTGCAACTGCATCTTTTCTTAGCAAATTGTACAGTGACTATCTTGAACTTTTACGACGAAATAGAGGCACTTGCAACACTGCTAATTTTACCCTTGAAATGCTGCGAGATTTCTCCATGTCGCAGGTACGCACTTAAAAGTCATAAAAGGATTCTTTAGATTGGTAATTTTATTGTGCTTGGACAGACACTTGCGGACCCACATGAGGTCATGTGGGGTCAAATTAGAGGTGTCAATCCGGGGTGGTCCGGGCCGAGTCGGCCCGCCAACATATGAGCTGATAACTGCTTGCCAACATATGAGCCCGTACGGTCCACGTTAAAAAAAGCCTGCCCGCTACGGGTTCAGGGCCGATTCCGGCGCGACCCCACAAATTTTGAACTACAACCCAGGCTCGCCCGCTGACTTATCCCGGTCGAGCCCATGAGGGTCACGGGTCGCAGTTTATTCCGATTTGACTCGTATTATTGTATAAATAAAATTATAAAAATATAGAATTTTTCATATTTATAGCAAAAAATATTTTTTTTGTTAAATGTAAATTAAGAATTGAACAAAATGATAAATTCATATTTATACCAAAAAAATGTTTAAATTAAGAATTGAATAAAATAATAAATTCATATTAATACAAATAAATGTTTATATAGAATTCAAATTTAATGTTGCATGAATTATTTATAACTATGTAAAGTTAAATTTAACTCAAAACAAATAATAACTAATTGTATTTCTAATTACTATTATCAAATATTTATAACATAAGTACATCTCAACTAGGTTGGCACATACTTTTATTATAATTTATAGTATAAGTACATCATAATTAGGTTGACACTCTCCCCTTTTTTTTTTCAAATTTTAAAATTTTTTTTTACGGGCCAGCGGATTAACCGCGGCCCGTGAAGGTGCAACCCGCGAAACCCGCGGGTCACACCTCCTTGACATGTGAACTGCCCGCTCGAGTCACGGCCGGGTCCCGGGTCGGTCCGCGGTCCCGGGTTTATCCGGGCCGATTTTTACGGGTCTGACCGGTCCGTCCGTCTTGACACATCTAAGTCAAATGACCCCACAAATTTTATTTTTTTTAGTTTTCCTCGAGCTTTTTTTTTACCTAAATATTTTTGAATTCTCATTTTTGATCCTACAAGAAAAATGGTCTCGGAGGACAGACACACAAATTTAAGAAAAATAATCAAATTTTGTGCAAGATAATTGAACTTGACCAAACAAAGAATCATATTTTGCTCCCATATGCCCATAACAAGAATCAAGGGAAAATGAGGATGCTAAGATGAATTTGTACTTAAATTAAAATAGATAAGATAAAGAACGAGAATATAAGCCAATGAGTGAGGGTGGCATCAATTGAGGACAAATTAAGCTTCTGTTTGACTCTCTTTAAATTAAAACTCTTTTTTTTTAGTACTCATTTTCAACGAAGTATTCACACAATAAAATATTTTGTATGTAAATCCAAAACTTTTTTCTACTTTTTAATCACACATTTTTCAAAAAAATTACTATTCGGAACATCATTTTTCGTCAATTTCTTTTTATAATAGTCATCAAACAGGGGGCTAAGAGAATAAACTTAAGTGGTTGTGATATATTTTGTATAGACCTAAAGAGATTAATATTCATGAGAGCGATGTGACCTCAATAGAAATATGACATAAGAGGGAGAGGTAAATAAAAAATAACATAGTTTGTCGTAGTTGGTAAGGATCTTTCGGACCTTCCTACATATATAAAAATAAATCAAATGTAGTCATGGGTGGAGCCACCACATGCCCACTCAGACCATATGCCTCTCTGGGCTTTGGAAATTCTTATGCTGTCAAGCATAGTAAAAATTGATGATAGCCCAGTAACTTATTTTTGCCCCATTGTTCAACCAAGTCACGATTTTGGTACGTCGTTTTGTTTGATATTTGATGTTTGGGCACGTTGAAATATGTATCTATCTTGATAATATAGTCATGACAGAGCATTTTCGTTAGTCATGACAGCATTTTTATTTACGTTATCTTTTGAAAAAAGGAAAAAGAAATATTTGTAGTTAAACCTCGCTCTCATTGGACCTGAATCCTTACTCCACCCCTGAACGTAGTGGTTAAAAATGATTCATTTAGAAGATCCAAAATTTGTTAGAAAAGGCTTAGGTTGCTGTCTTATTACTACTATACAAACAACGAAGACGAACAACATAGTTGCAATGCTGTGTCAGATGCAAGCGATTCACCATATTCCTGGAAAGTTTTTTTCCTTCATGTCATTCTACTTATGTTCAGGTTGATTACATACTTGGCAATAACCCAATGAAGATGAGCTACGTGGTAGCGTATGGTGATCATTACCCGAATCAAGTTCACCACAGGGCTGGATCAATCCCAGTTGGTAAATGGCACTCCTGTGCAGAAGGGAACCAATTTCTGAATTCAAAAGAAAAAAATCCAAATGTGCTTATAGGAGCCATGGTAGGAGGACCTGACAAAAACGACATTTTCTTGGACGAAAGAGACAAGCCCAAGTTTACAGAACCTAGTATCTCAAGCAATGCTGGTTTAGTTGCTGCACTTGTTGCACTTCATAATTCTCCTAGCGAATCTTCTGATTTTTATGATAATTTGGGCATAGACAAATTGGGCATTTTTCAGAATGTACATTTAATTTGAGAATTTCCTTTGCAGTTCAAGAAAAAGGATAGGAAACAAATGACATTTGAATCTTATTTTGCTCAGTGCTGTACTCAAGTTTGAGAATTAACATTTTTTTTTTTAATGTTAATGTCCTTCATGAATTTCTTTAATTGATCCTAGAAAATAATTAACGAGGAACATGTTGAAGGAATCTGTTTAAAACTCGATATAACAAATATTTGTTGTTGCTACAGAGAAATCCAAACGTAACATGAGTTATAAGCCTTTTGAGCATAACTTAGGTATCAAGGGAACAAATTGGGAATCTGAGTCACCATATTCATCTAGAAGATCTTCCCTTGATAGAAAAATAGAAAAGTACCAATAGCTAAAGAGTATTGATATTCGTAAACAGAGCTTAAAAACCACAATTCATGTGACAGTGGGGTTATTGTCACATTCTTACGAAGAGCAACCATGTGGCAATGGGGTCATTGCCTGCCACATTCTTTAATGAAAGTTGATATACATTTTAATTCATTAAGGAATATGGTAGTGATTATTGAAAATAAGGAAGGAAACGAAATTGAGCCTGTTGTACTGTAAGGAAGAAAATGATAGATTCAATATGATGATTTCATGTTGAAGATTGGAATAGAATCCAATGAAATACAATGAATACAAAGTGCTTCATTTATAGACCAAAAAACTAACTATCTAACTACGTAGAAGTCTCTAGAATGAAGAGTTGGGCTGGATATTCTAATATACCCCCCTCAAGATGAACTATGAAGATCAACAATAGTCCATCTTGAAGATTAAAGTGCGGGACACGAAAAGAAGAAAGGAAAAATCTGAATTTGAACTACATCTGCAGTAAAGCACACTATGGACTGCAAGATATCACAAGGATCTTTGGTTCAATTTCTCCACCATTTTATGGTATACAAAAAAAAAAAAAGAAATCGAATATCATTTGTTTCTGTATTGAAAATACACAATTGTTGCCAATTTTTGATGAAGATGAATTATAGGCAGAACTTTGAAGCACAAACATTCTCCAGAATATTATCCATTTGATATTCAGAAGGCACACTTGTTTTGTTTTCCAAATCAACTTGTGAAACTGGCATGGATGTGCCAGATGTGCTTCTCTGCATCTTACGAAGTAGTTCACCAAGAATTACCAAAAGCATCAAGTAATTGCTTGAGATTCTTTTGGTTCTCGTTGCATAAAAAGGAGTTGCTGTTGAGAGGTGAGCCAACCACCAATTTCAGAACAAGGCTGGATCTGAAGCCAAAGTTATCTTTTGATCTGGCATGAATTAGAAACCATGAATTAACATCCATAAAGGAAAAGAACATAGAAAACGGAATCAGAATAAATTTCATGAAAACATCTCTAGTATAAAGCTAGAGAGAATAGAAAAAACATCTCTAGTAATTGATCTGCTCCAGGAGGCAGGAAAATGAACCAGATTCATCATCAATGGCGGAATAACTCATTGATGAGGACGAATTGAACAAATCAGCTTCTGTCAATTGCTGCGAAATCAGGTCACTGATGAAGATGAATTGTTTTGGTTTTGGATTTGTGTTGATGAAAGGCTCGGTCGCCTTTATTGAATGCTAAAAAAACATATTTCAGTAGAATGCTAGAGCTTTGTTGATCTTCAGGTTCACTTGTAGATTAAAAAATCAATGGAGAATCTCTCAACTGCTTGAACGGACTAGAGTTAGATGTGTGAGATTGATTGGAGGTAAAAAAAAATTATATATGATGAAATTTGAGTTTCCTGCTCCGATACCATATTGAAAATAAGGAAGGAAACGAAATTGAAGCCTGCTGTACTGCACAAAAGAAAATGATAGATTTAACATGATGATTCCATGTTGAAGATTGGCATAGAATCCAATGAAATACAATGAATACAAAGTGCTATATTTATAGGTTAAAAAACTAACCAACAAACTATCTAACTACATAGAAGTCTCTAGAATGAAGAGATGAGCTGAATATTATAGCAGTGATCTCACTGTCACATAGATTACTGTTTATAAACATATTGCATACAAACATCATTGTTCATAACTATTTATGAGAAGTATAAAATCCAAAAATAAGAAAAGCTAAAAAGACCGTAATTTATTTATTATGAAAAATCAAACGCCTCACTCTCGAAGTTATATTCATTAACACTCTCACCCAAGTTCTACCGCACTCATGCTACTATAATCTTTGAAAAACGAAAAATAGAAGCCAAATGCTTCTTGAATGCTATCAAGGGTCACAAAATAATTATCACTAAAATGCTTCTGGAAAAACTTTTTTTTAAAAGGAAATTCATTCTAGAATCCCTTGAGAATACATCATAACATAAAAAAATGAAGAAGACTTTCAGTATGTCGTTATCAGATGGGAGCTGTCATTTGATGTGCATTTACACCGTCTTAGCAGTTGCAAACTGGAAGAAATCAATTGAACAATCAATTCAATTATCCTCAAACGCTCCTAAGGAAACAACCTTTGGGATCCAAGTCATATGATTCTTTCCATTACAATAGTATGGTCAAACATTCTACCTCATGATAATCAATCTTATTAATGTGTATGCTACATTTAGATCACCATCTTTAGGCAAAACATGTGCTCTTAGAGCTTGATTGGACTTTGCAATTGCCAATTCTTGTTTCTTGACCTCAAAATGTCCTAGATTGTAAAAGAATTGTCTGTCCATTATTTCATATTACTTCTTTCAATTACTGTGAAAAAAGGAATTTGAGTTAGATCCTAGACTTCATAAATTGTTTTTACCATCGCTTTGGTTTTTCATGAAGAAATCCATTGCAGATTCTTCTGTAACTTTGTCGAATGCAAGAAAATCTTATGCTGATTTGTCAACCTACAAGAATCATCTTCGCAGACTTGAGAATAAGATTTTACGATTTGCAGCATTTAGGAAGATCTAAAAGTGCATGACATGATCTTATTGATTATTTTCCAAAACTCTTCCTTTTTTTTTTCCAAGTTACACTTTGAATGCATTGTAATTAAAAAATTTCGCTTATTCAACCTTTAATAATCATTCCATCGTCAATAATTATTTCACGAATAATACTAATACTATTTATCATCATAATGATAGAATATTGATGATGTGACAACTTATTATCCCTCACATTTCTCTCTGTCTCTCTCTCTTTCTTCTCCCATCTCTCATAAAAATTGAACTGATCAACATACACTACCACATCACCAATGTTCCATCATCATAATGATAAATAACGTTATTCTTATTTTACAAGCCAAAAGAAAAAGGAAAAAGAAAGGGTTTAATTTACTCCTTTAAATTAGTATGTAATTATAATTGAATAAGTATTATGCCAAACCTCTTTCATATTCATAATTATGACAATAAACTTCCATGACTAGTAGCAATCCCCTCAGCCAAAAAATAAAAATGAAAAATGTTCTTATATCAAGGCCCAGAAAACAATTCATGAGCAGACAGATCAAATGATCCCCAAATATTGCTGTCAAGATTTGCAGAAATTCTTAACTGATCATTTGGTGAAAATACTTCAAAATCATGAAACTGCAGCATAGGTAATTGGCATGGAAAATCTGGCAAATTCGGGCTATCAGACCAAATTTCGGGCCGTAATTCATCTCCAAGCATAGTTTGCAACTTCAAATCATCAGGATTATGATCCATTTGAACATTTTCTTCATGAATATTGGAGAGATGATCAGTGATTAGCACTTCTTGAAACTGAGCGGTATCTATGAAATCTACGGGCTCAACGGTCTTTTGATACTCAAATAAAGCATCTTCCAGTCGGCTATCAATGTCCAAAGAACTTGCTTGAACTTCAGATGATGATGCATAACTAGCTCCAGGACTAGAAGATCCCTCACCACCACTTTTCTCCTCATTATTTTCCACATTTTGGTTCAAATAATTCGCGAAAACAGTGGTCAAATCAATATCTACGCATTGATCACCCGTCGGACTAGTACCTTGATCGACATAATTTGCACCGCCGCTCTCCACCTGCCTTGCTGCCTTCGCCCTCCTGCTTTTCCGGCAACCACCGCCAAACGGCACGTTCCTCAGTGATCCACCCTTAGTCCAGTACCTCCTGCAGCCTTTGCAGAAGTACCTAGGTTGTGACAAACTGTAGTTGTTGTAGTAGCAGAATTTAGTGTTGGATGAAGCACACCTAGGACAATTCGGAGCTATCTCGACATTTTTCGACCTCCATTTTGTACCATCCATGATCAATGGCCTAGGTAGGCAGTCCATCATAGGAAATTCACAGGTATTATTATATAACATGTTGGAAATCTTGCAAGAGAGATGGAAAATCGAGATTTAGATATTGTGGGTATAGGAGAGAATATATGTATCGAATAGATACATAACAACTTATATATAGAGAGATGTTGGTATAGTGATGTGGGGTGGATAGGTGGGGTGGGGAGGGGTGTAAAATTTGTAAATAGAGGCAGTGTGGGCCGTTAGCGAGCCGTTAGGACCAAGTAAGTGTTTGCATGTGCATGTCCACACAGACACTTCTACATATAAATCATAGGCAGAATAGACGTAGTTTACGTTTGGGTAATGTGGCATTTCTTGATTGGGTGTGTAAGAACGTGATTGCTGGTCATTAGTCAATGCTTCCTCGTTTTCGTGATTATTTTTTAACTTAGATTTCTAAAATTAAGCAAATCTTCTCTTAAACCTTTTTCGAAGTATTGATGAACTAGTTTTATCTTTTGAAATTTCGATAAATCAAGGTTTTTCGACAATAGAAATGATTAGAAATCGATGAAGTTTGGCTCTGTCATGTAGTTATCTTAAAATACAGTGCAAGAAGTCGGGGATTCACGATTCATTTAAGATAAGAAATTGAAGAGAGGATTCACAAAACTCTACTTACATAAATACAAATCTTCCGCCCTAAATCATTTGAAATCCAATGTTGGTGAATAACCCTTGTGCCAATTAAGAGCGATAGAACTTTATAAAAACTTGATTCTTGTCTAATAATTACACAAATTCTATCGTAGATTACATAAGCAAAATAGACCATATTTAAAAAATTTCTCCTCTCTAATGTAATATAAGAAAATTTTATTAAGCTGATGTGATAAAGGAAAAAACAGATCAAAGGTTCTTTTACACATGCTAATGACTCAGGAAAATTTATATGTTCTATTCAAATATACATGTGATTTTTTTTTTATTTTAATAAAAGACACCTAGACATTATTACTGGGTTCTAGTAGAACTGACGCCGGGCAGAATAGTGATTATTCTGTAGGTTGGAATCAATAGAGAATAACAGAGAAGAACGTAAGAGAATAACACCAAGAAAAATGAGAAAATCTTTATTATTCAACAACTGAGCGAAAATAACCACAAGCCGGGTTAAATAGCTAGAAAATAATAATTATCGAAATTTTACCAAAAATAGCAAAATCCTATTATTCATACCAAAAGTGAAGAAGGCAAAAAAATAATTTCATTTAATTTTGGGTATGTTTGTTTTTGGCTAATTGCTAGTCTAATTTGATTGGAAACGGGCCAATGATCAC